AAGAGTTGGACAGTTGGAGAGACAGCAATCCAAAAGTCGTTTCAGATACTATAGGCATATAGTAGCAAAATCTATATATACATATATATATATACAGGGTGTCCGCAAAGTTGGAGTTGCAACCTTCAACCGACGGTTACGGTCTCGCGTGTAGAGGTAATCGCGTAGACGAGAATCCCTCAACGAGCACTAGAGACGTGGCTAGAGAAGTGCAAGTATCAAAAACTAAAGTGTGGCAAACGCTGCGTGAAGAGGGGCTGTATCCGTTTCACGTCCAACGTGTAGAAGCCCTTCAACCTGACGATTTTCCTGCAAGAGTGCGGTTTTGTGAGTGGTTGTTGCATCAACATGACAATAATCCTGACTTTTTGAAGTGCATATTGGTGACAGACGAATCTACGTTCACGCGTAATGGGGTGAATAACTTTCGCAACACTCATGTTTGGTCAGTAGAAAATCCACACGCTGTCCGTCGGGCACATTTTCAATAAACATTGTTTGGGCTGGCATGGTGAACGGTATGCTCATTGGACCATTTATTCTCCCAAATCAATTGGACGGGATGCAATACCTAGACTTTTTACGCAACATTTTGCCTTCCTTGTTAGAAGATGTGCCATTAAGTGTAAGACAATCAATGTGGTTTCTGCGTCTGCTCGGTAGCGCATCAGCTGATTTCATTTTCTGTTGGAGCGGTATGATTTCGGGCAGAGACGTACTTAGCCCTTCTCGTCAACTGGAGAGTGAGTACTTTTTCCTTTATTTTTTTTTACTTGGTCGCCCTCGTTTCACTACACATTACCTTTGTTATTTCAAGGGTAGTTGTTTCTGAAAAGGAAAACCCTAACTTTGCGGACACCCTGTGCATATATATATATATATATATATATATATATGTTATATCCACTCATAACAATGGACTTACTATTCCATACAATGTTGCATCAGACGCTAGCTCAGCAACAGATAACGACTTCTCGCTAACTCGTTACTTATGCTTTGTTTTCTAGAAGTGCTTTGTAAGCACACCAATAGTATAAATAGGCCTTGCGCCCATTTCATGTTGTTCAATACCCGGTTAGACACCGTCAAGTCAAGTAATTTTTTTTATACTCCAACTACCACGAAGGCCTAAGGCCTAAGCACCCATTGGGTACCGTGGGGCTATAGGGGGATACATGGGAAAGGGGGAACGCCACACGGATTCTGGCAAGGGAACACGTGTGCATGCAACATGCACACATTCTGGCTACGCCTACGAGATCCGCCGGTTGGTACCTCCGCGTTCGACAGTCAGAGACCGTCTACCACCTACGGACAATCACTACATCCATAGCCAATAGAAAAATGTCTCCTGGGACGGGACTCGAACCCGCACAGCGCACGGCGACTGATCAGGAGACCGAAGAGTCCACTACTGCGGCCACCGCTGCTGTCAATGTAAACGTTTGTAATTTGTAACGGACAGTAGCTACTGTCCTCAAATAATTTTTTTTAAAAGTAAAGTTGAATTTAAATGATATAACATATATATATATATATAGTATATAGTTAATTGCCTTAACTGTTAGGAGAAAATATCCCTAAATTTCTACCCAAAGAAATTCAAGGATATACATATATATACATATATATATATACTTCTATAATTCCTTTTTTATATCTTTGCTCACTATGTTTTTATAAAACGTTAAGGTAATCACCTTGTATGTCGAAGAACTACTATTCCTATTGCTCGGTGTAAACAAGACACATTATATCTTAATGGTTTATACATGGCCGATGCCGGCAAGATCCTCTAGGACAAACGATTGCAAAGCGACAACTACGCATGCCTCTATTTTTGCAGCTTTTTTGTTTGCTCGACAATATGAAAATTTCATCCAGTCTTCTGAGTATAAGCCTTATAACTAACTTTAACCTCTGTTGGAGATATTGCAATATGCTATAAGATGATCGACTCAATTTTTGAAAAAGAATAAGTCCTGCTCGTACAGCTGCCACCAACCTGTCAGGAATCGTGTCCAAGATCCCGCCACACAAATTCCGTTCATTCTGCTACGCTATTTAGAGGGAATTCACATGGCCGGATCCTCGACACAGTCGCCAACAAGTCAGCGACCACTGTACGAACAACCAACTTTAATTGCTAAAAGCTCAAAAACCGCATCGAAATTTCTACAGATTTTGCACAGATTTTGATATACTCGTACCTAGTAGTAGTAGTTATAGTGACCGCCATGCAAGTGGCACACAGAAGCATGTCACACGTGCACCCTGGCTAGGTGCTAAACCAGCTGGGGCTCCTGGGTGCTTGGATGACCAAGATAGGGTAACCAACCCCGGTGGCGATAACCAATCTCCAGGGGATTCCGACATTGTCTGACCCGGAACGGGCGACTGACAAGGGTTACACCGGACTCCTATAGCCGCGATGGAGGCAGCCGGTCTAGGGATACTGACCCGCAGAATTCATAAGAGGAGTGTGGATCACATACAATTTTTGGAATAACGGACGGACAACACATTGGCACTGATACGACGACAGGGCTCTGAGGGAGTAAACCCCTGAAAAAATACTCCCAAGTCCAAAGAGTAACACCATCGGGCTAAGGGGCTGCATGGCGGACTCGGTGACCCAGGGATAACAGCCATACTGCCGCATGCGGAAGGGGTATCACGTAACTTTAAAAGTGACATTATACCGATTTTTTTTTACATTATGCTGTTTTTTTTTTACCTTAGGCTGCTTTTTCGCCAAGACGTTGACTTAGCACTAGCTGATTCAGACTAGTCGTGAACTCGTTTCTAGTTGTACGTGTTATCTAAACGTCATGATGTGTTAGTTTGGCTATGATGTCATGAATCAAGTACTTCAGAGATGGCATTATATTGGAGATCTAAGCTGTAACTTGTATATTATAGACTACATCTGGAAGGAAAAGGCAGTGCATAGGTACGTAGTGAGGATGTGCGTGCTAATAATAGTTGTTAATGGTAATTCCATTGGTTTCTTGTCTCAAATAGACTTACTTGAGATATATTCAAAAGTGAAATTAGTTGCACATCCACTTTTTATTATTCAACCTGGAAATTAAATATGCAAGTTTGCAGAATTTCAAAAATTGTGAGAGATAAGAAAAGAAAATCGCGCGTTGGTGAATTAACAGCGAAGATACTCTACGACATCTCGACAGGAATATTTATGAAAGTGAAAAGGTTATTACATTATTTTTTTATTTCCATTCATTTAAATTTTATAAAAACTTATTTTGAGATGTCAATAGAAAATACAAATCAGCGCCTGGATGTGAGGCACTGCGAAAATGTTTGATCTGTCATGACTCATTCCCATTTTTTATTTGATGTGGTTCTGAAGGTAAGTGAATATACTTATTTTTTAAAATACATGTAATAATTTTGTCATGATTTAAGGACACTGTCCTCTTACAGGACAATGTTAAAAGAAAATCAATTAAAAATGTTTTACTTAACTGACTGGCAGCTGTCATAACGTGACATCTGCCACTAATATAAAGATATTGATGCCTGTCTTACAATGGTTCCATGGTTCCGTGATCTCTTCTTCAAGTAATAATAATTTTATAAGAGTAAATAATTAATAATATAATTTGTAATAACGCTTATGTTTTTTGTCATTTGTCTTTGAGTTCGTGCAGTGAAATTACACCATAATGGATTTATCTTGAATGGTAAATGTAATGTTTTTCAACATATGTGATGCTACTAATGAATCAAATATCTTTGGTATCAATCGTCATACAGGGTTGTTCACCTACACAAGTTGTAGAAGAGGATTTACTGTATTTTAACACAATGGTGAACCTATTGTACCATGATGTAATTCCTCACAGTATAAAGCTTAATAATTTCAAAAGTTATTGGTTCATTATTTATTCCATACTTGTAGACTCGTTTATGTTGATAAACCACAAAATCATCAAAATAAGTAATTTTGGAAGCATAGGGCTGATGGGCAATACCTACACTTAAATTAAGTCATTTCTAATAGAACCAGGTGAATATGTAAATTCATTCTTGTCGAAATATTTTCTCCACTATTTTTGTTGATCACATTCATCTTATTTTTCTTGGAATTAAAAGTGTATGAGTATTTTTGATATGTAGCTTTTGACGTAGGTAGATATTTTTTATACTATGAAAAATCACTTTTCAGCACTATGTTATTGAGATGTTAAAAGAAATAATTACAAAAACATATCGAGTGTAAACCATAATCAAAAAGTATTTTTTAAACTAATTTCATTCCTAACGTTGAAAGAATCTGTTTTACTTTGAATTTATCTTCTCATTTTGTGCTGAACGTGCATCATTTGATTGTAAAACAAAGAGCGTTGAAAGATGGTTTTCTTGAGATGAATGAATAAGAGTAATTTTCATTTGTACTTGAAGCATTATAGTATATGTTCTGGTTGTAGGGTTGAAAATAAAGGTCAAAGAAAATGGTGATTTGAGTAATTATTATCTTCATAAAAGAAGATGTAGTAGAATGTTGGTAGAGGAATGAAAAAGTTAATAGATGGTTAGGATGATCATGATGAATACTGGGGAATATATGAATTATGTTCATTGGGTGGCAATGGTAAGCAATCATATCTTCAGTAGTATTTAGGATTGTAACAATTTGTAAAGTTGGAGTTTGGATATTTGCTGTAACTGAACTATTTTTTATTTGCTGTACACAATTAATGCTAGCTAAATCAGGTAATCATAGCACTAAATTTGAGGCCCATGGAATGCTAGGATTTCATTAGCTACTTTAAGGAATCTGGGCAGCCATATCTCAAATATAGTCACTTGGGCAGTCTGATAATGTCTCTGACATAAAGATGATTCATTCTTTTGTGGAACTGTACCAATTTGTAGCATTCAATTGTAAAATCTGCAAAAAACACAGCTTGCTAGGGTACGAAATATTGAGGTTGCTATGACAATCCACCATAGATTAACAGCCATAGAGAAAAAAACTTTCAATAAATCAACCTGTTGTCATTGTTTAATAGCTTCATCAGGATTTTCTACAAAAAAAACATTTCAGGAAGATGGAATTACGATTTTGTAGTAATTCTCTATACAGTTAACACTAGTTTAAACCAATATAAGGAAATCAATAATTCACTGCCACTGTCTTTGAAAATTTGAAAGTTTTGAAGAAGAGTGGCTAGATTGAAAATTACAATGTACTGGTTCTACATTTAAATTGCTAATATCTTGTATGAAATATAGTAAATAAGTGTGTACAAAAACTTTTTAAAATTAATATTTGAAATTGGTTTCCTTTTATTAGGTGTCAGAATTCAGAAGAATTAGCAATAAGTTATCCTTGGGATGGTCATAAACAATAGCTGCAATCCAAAAAACTACTCCTAGCCAGATGTGCATTAGGTACATAATAACAATATTCATTTTACAGCTTCTACAACTATATTGTACGTAGGTTACCAGGTTACCAGGTATTGGAAGTTCTGAATTTGAGGCAGGAATTTAGGCGTAGGACATTTAGTAGCCTCACTTTCAGAAAATTACAAATTGCTCTTAACGTTTTTAATTCGGTTCGGCTACTTACTAAATGAAAAACTATTTTTCCTTCATGTTGCAACCTCTGATGTGACAGCTGAAATTTTCATCTTGATCGACCATATCAAAGCAGAGCTTCACATTGAAACTAAGGGTGCAAAAAATGTAATGTGCATTAGTCTAATGAAAAATGTCCTTCATATTCTGCTCCTCCCCTTGAAAATCGACATTCTGCAATTTTCACATTTAAACCTGGCAACCCTAAATGTGTGTCAATTGTTTCCAATAACTCTATGTTTTTAGATGCTGACCATATGCCTTCATGTTGGAGTATGGAAGCATTAGCATCATTAAGAGATGGTTAATCAGAGCCAAGGAGAGGTCAAAAAGATCAGGAGCTCCAATTGTATGTTAGTTATAAAGAGTTACATACATTTTAGATCATGAAAATATATGTGTATACTCATATTTATAAGTATTTACACCTGGTGTTTTATTCCAATATGTGTAATTAGCTAACTTAAAAAATGTTTAGTCATTATATTGAAAGAATCTCATTAACTTTTAAATCTAAAATGCATTATTAATTAAACTACTGCTTTGATGCCTTCAGGAACGTCTACAGGTAAATGAAGGAAAGAAAATACCAATATAGATGGGTAACGCCAAAGCCCGTTCAATTTTTATGGGTTGAGAGCCGGCTTTAGAGATACCAACTTCGAATTTTGATCTTAAAATTGTTTATTTGGTGGAAAAGGCAACCTATGGATTGTCTTCCCAGTGGCAAAATTACTACTTGTAGAGTTCATGTGATTTCGTTACACATACTTTTCGATTGATAAAGCTAGTCTTTGAAATCACTGACAATTTTCATGAAGGGCGAGAATTTATCAACTATCACAGAGGTCGCGTATTCATGAAGGTTGACAAGTTGTATAATTATTTTGTAAAAACGTAGTCAATTACGTATGAAACGGATCTGTTGGCTGTTTCTAGTAGGACCACATTTTAGGCGGCACATTGGAGTTCCGCTTCGCCGGCAGCAATCGGAATTTTTCTAAATCAAATAATGTAATATGTATGCTTTTTGCTTTTAATTTATTTTTTTAAAATAAATACTTTTTGAATCATTTTCATTCCCATTATGTGCATCTAACATTTCAAGAACATCAGTAACATATCTGGGAAGTGTGAGGGAGCTCCTCTTAAAAATATGCTCCTCTATGCATGAGAATATCCCATTAATGTTATGTTACAAACTTGTAACCTACCATAAAATTGTTGGGGAATGTTATAATTACATATACTGTGTATGTAATCTATGTAAACTACACGAATATGCAGCCAAAATGGCCTGTAAGGTCATTATCTAGGTCATATTTGACTTAATTGATTTACTGCGTTTTTGATATCCTTAAACTTTGTTGATGGATTTGAGTGAATAGTGTTGGAAAGAAATCAAAGTTTGTTTTTTAAATTGATGATTGCATGTGCTGATAAAGGACAAAAATGATTTCATTAGACATTTGTTTCGTGGAAAATACATAAGAATCATAATTCATCATCAATTACAGGAAAATCTACATATTGATGATAGGGATATGTGTTATTTATTAATACAGCTTCCAAAAAAAATTAGTTATTGAAAGAATTACCAGAAATGAAGATTTGTACAATGGTTAATCTAGATATACTAAAACCAATTACAATGAAATATTGTATTATAAAAGAATTTAACCAGCATTTTATTTAATATATTTGACAAGTGGATCCTCTCTGATGACTGGTGGTTTGAAATTATTTTGAAAAGGGGCAATAACAAAGTGATCAAAATAGTAACAAAAAGATTACGTGATTTTGGTATGTTACAATCCAACTAAGGAACCAATAAATTATGAAGGTAATCTAGGAGGATGTGTATTTCACTATTCAAGAGTGACAGCCGGACTAAACAAAATAATCGCTAAGGTACCGATCTGATCTCCTCAATTCGCTCTAGATACTAGCTAGTCGAATAGGCGACGTCACGCTTACCTACACCTACAGCCCATACGTGACGCTCAGCACTTACAACTTACAAAATAAGCGTGCTGTTCTTGGATTTTGCTGAGGGAGAAAGGGCAATTTGATATAACATCTGAGGATCATCTTGTGGTCGACTAGCTGATAAGTCTCGATGTTTTGTTGGTCGCCAAAATAAACAAAACGTGTTGGATTGATTTTTTTATTTATTATTACAATAAAATGTTGCCATTGTCGGTTTTGATGTATTTGAACAGGCCACAGAGATGGCCGAAAGTTTAATATATATTCATGCCAACATATGTGGATTCATTCGATGACTAGCAAAACATAGACATAATTATACGGCAATGTGTGTCAATTATTTGATTTGATGCACATCTTGTGAGACGATTTCCGCCAAAGCCTCATTTGATTTTAGAAGACTGTCATTAAATTCTACTCGTAGTTCTTCTATACCTTTACTACCAGCTTTGGCCAAAATTTGAAAATGTCTAAACTGCAGATAAAGAGCTGAAAATTAGTGAAAAAATGATACCTAAAAAATGTTGACACTTGCTCGCTGATTCGGTGGCTGGATGTAGATGACTGCATGAATTGCTACTATGCAAGGGTTCGTCCACAACTGACTGTTTGCAATAAAGCTACATTTAAGCTTCATTTTTATATTTCTAACTTATCCCTACGAGAATAGTAGATGCACTTATTCCATCGGTGCTCCAGCATGTTAATAGTCTCCTGGTAAAAAGTTTGTCCGATTGCTGAAAATTGCTCTTCTACGATATCACCTGTTGATTAATTTAAACTTTTTTCCTTGTAAATGAACTTGTTATTTTGGAAAATTTATGAAATCCTTGACGGCCGTGTCTGGCGAATACAGTGTGTAGTCTACAAAATCAAAGCCTGCTCGATAGAATGTAGGAATAGTAATGCAGGAGGTATCGTTGAGACCAGCTTCCCGGTGAAACAGTACACCTTTCATACGTCTTTATAGTGTATCGGTCAGTTACTAGCATTACAGGAGAACGACAGCCATATTTTGTTAACTTGGAATACTGAAATCATTTGTTTGCTGTCAACAACATTCATGGAATAATGATATGCAAAGAGAAGAGAGATGGAGCATAGGGATCAACCCTCGTATTCCGGTCGCTACCATTTGACACAACGCAGAGTGATCTAGAACATCGAAAAGCTGGGAAATAATAAAGAAACAACGCCGATTTGAAATCTGTGGTCAGCTATTGATTATAAGGGCATTTAAGGGTCATTTCAAGGTCATATCGAGGACGTTCTCACAAGAAGCCGAGCAGCTGATCCCAACCTCATGACATATAGGTATTTCTGGTTATTCGGTCCGAATCAGAGGTTAGTTAGCCTCTATAAAGGGATCTGAAGCTCATTTCAAGATCACTTTAAGGAAAAATTCAAAAGAAGTACAGCTAGACCAGATGCGTGACGTAGATTTTCGTGGTCGCTGAATGCAAATCAAAGATCAATCTGTCTTTAAGAACGCATTTGGAGGAATTTTAAGGTCACTCAAAGGAGAAATTCTGAAAAGTAGGATAGCCGTTTCCGACCACCTGACATAATATGTTCGTAAAGTTCGTACTCTTTTTATTGTGACCCATATTCTGACTGTCAAATATTTCAACAATACAAACTTCGAATTTAATAGTCTGCCATGGTAATGGTAGTGTAAGCAAAGTCTTAAGTCCATGGCCAGCTTGTTGTATAAATAATTAACTTCAAAATAGGTAATAATTTTCATTCACTTTCAATACTTGGTTTTTTCAATGTTTGTCATTGGTAGACCACTGTGCAATGCATGCACTGGCGCTCCTACGGGGGGTGTCGGGGGTTATTAACCCCCCCCCAGTCGACTCGAGCAGTCTTTGGAAAGTGGTATAAATATGTCTGCATATGTTCATGCTTTTAATGTTAAATCATTATAACACTTCAGTACGTCACACTGAGAATTAACTTTCCATTTTACCGCTCCCAGACTGAAATCCTGGGAGCGCCACTGAATGCAAGGTATAAATTCTAAGCTATAAAGCTATATTTTACTTCACTGAGTCGAATTTCTGAGAGGTCATTTTCAGAAGAGGAAAGAGGCACATCTGAAAAATCAGTTTGATAATAACTAATATGAAGTGAAACCCACTTTGCAACCTTATTACGCTAAACATGAAAAATGTATAATGGTTATTATGTTTAGATTTTGGAGAAGTATGATAATCTTAATGAAGACTACTGAAATTATTATTTCAAACTGGGGTGCTCAATATTGTAAGTCTCAAGCATAGTAACTTGAGTGGTCAGCAGAGAACAAATAATAAAATGAAACCGCAAACCTCGGTACTGTATATAGAGGTAGGCGCTACGTGTCTAGCAATCAGTTCCCGTCCCATCATTTTTTTGCCGTGGATGTTGTGATTGTTTGTAGGTGGTAGAATATGTGTCCCATAGGTTGTACACAACTACACAAATTGTACGCAATGTATGTGTCAACTATAAAATGTACATTTCCATTGCAACAACTCGAGTTAGGGCTTTTAGCAACAGGTAATATGACGTACCTGGTTCAAAAATTACCATCCATTACATGGTAATAAGCAAATAACGTAAAGTTTACTTTACAGTGACAAATAAATACTATGACTGCACAGATATTTGGGTGTAAAATACGGTAAAACTAAAGTGACTCCGAGACTTTCAAAACTGAGAAATCCCTATTTCAATATTATTCAACTCAATCCGCATGTTGTCGGTTTCAAATTGGTTTGCACACTCTGACCTGAGGTTAGAGCTAGCAGTGTTGCTGATTTCCTCATCCAAAT